TGAAGAAACAACAAAAAGTATAATTTAAAGCAAAACCATACAGATTTTTATCGAGTCTTACAAACACATCATGCAGGACTGAACAACAGGAGCTTAAATTTTATAATAACAGTCTAAAAAATGGATGGAAATTATTATGTAAATATCTTTTGGAACTGGATAAACATTATACACACAACATATCCTACAGCTCTCAACAAGATGAAAATGATGTCAAAGACAGTATTGAAGATGATTTTAAAATTTCAGAAGTCATGCCCCAAACATGAGTTCAAAGGAAGGATTGTTCCAGTACTAGATTTTAAGGGCACAAAGAACTTCTAAAGGAATTGTCCCCAAAAGGATGTTGGGTTACAAATTGAAATTTGAAACTCAAAATAAAGAATGAAATACCTAGAAGATGAAAGTTGCGGGGATTCAAGTTACCAAGATTTTATGGCCATTGGATGGGCAGTGAACAAGATTGAAACAGATGGACCACATTTTTTTAACTAATGCTTTACTGAATGTGGAAACCAGCAAGCTGACCAAAACTTAATGTGCTCTCTGACATCACCACCAGTATCACTCTTCCTACAGCCCAAGTCAACGGCCTTCACTTAAAAAGTGACCTATTTTCTAATAGAATGGCAAATCAAACTGATGCAGATATATGTAGATAAGAAACTATACACAAATCAATTACCAACTATCCTCCTTTCCTTAGCCTTGCTTAAAACATAGCTTAAACTAAAGCACATTTTTTGAAACCACCTCCAGTCACAACTCTGCATTTCTCTCAATCCAGCGAACAATTCATCATACAATCTGTATAATATCAAATTCAATTTGCTGCAGTTTGACAATACTATCCTGTCATCAAACCATTAGAAAATAGCTGATAGGTTGCTCTCGCTCCACCACCAAACAACTAAAGCAAAAGCTACAGAACCAAAGGGAGTGCAATATAGCAATAAAATTCTTAAAGCATCTACTTGCTTGTCTTCCCACAACAAAGCAATTCACACTTTTTCACACCAACTTCAAGAGACTCAGAGCAGTGTGAACATCAATAGTTGAATAGACCATTAGTGTCCACAGTTCATAAATTACAAGCAAAACACAGTGAAGGTGGAGGATTGAGACAATACCCAACACCAAAATGAAAAGAAAATTTAGAAAAAAAAAAAAATGTCCCATAACGAAAATCATGGAAAAAATTGCAAAAGAAGCAGTTATGAATGTTCTATAACATTTAGAATTCAATTCACTTCCCTTGTTTTCGCTTTTCATGATTTATAACTTCGGCAGCAACAAGAACTCAAAAATTCCTTTCGTTGCCACACGTTGAACTCATTTCCCAGCCCAAAAAAACAAACTCCTCATCAATAATTAAACCCTAGATCCCTAAATCACCCAAAACCACACATATCAAGCAAACCCACCAACTCAAAACCAGCAATTTCAAAACTTTCCGAGAAATAATTAAGGGAATAAAAAAAAAAAAAACCACATCTGTAATAGGACTGAATCTAATCGAAAATCCCAGATAATCCGATCGGAAACCAGCGGGTTCTTTCTAATTAGATCCGCCATGAATAAGACCCTTAAAACGATTAAAAATCAGAAAAAATTAGGGTATTAGGGAATTGGGTTTTTACCAGAACTCCGCACCGTCGATACAAAAGCAACTTCCGATTCGAATTAGGATATGAGATCGTAATCTCAGATCGAAAGGAAGAAGGAAAGAGAAGGCTTGAAAGATGTCAGCTCCGTCTAGGGTTCCATGGAGCCTTCCTGAGTCGTGTCTATCTCTGAGCAGAGAGAATCGGCGAAGAAAGAAGAAATATGGGCCGTCTCGGGCCTAACCCTTGTGCCACCCTCCAACTTGTTGTCATTGTTGGTTTTAACACCCTCAACAAACAGTATAAGTTATTTAACCCCTGAACTTATCGTGCTTTTGACAATTGTCCCAAAATTAATGGCAAACAAGCGTGTGACTCGGGCTGGTCTCCACCGTTAACTTATATCTACTAAGTACCATATCATTGCCATGACATTGCTATGTTGAAATAAAAATCGTCCAACTTAGATAGATAAGGATGGTAAAACTCTCTCCCTTTACTTTGAATGAGGTCCAATCTTTGATTTAATAATCTATAAATAAAAAATAAAAACCTTCGTAACAAGAAATTTATAAATGAACTCTCAACTTTCAAAGTTAATTTTCTAAACTTTCAATGTCCTTTTTTTATTTTCAATAACTAAATTTCACTGAAAATTTTGAGAGTAGACATAAGTGAACAGATAAACACAAGTATATGAGTTACATGCTCTTCTATCATCAAATTTGAAGTAATTATTAAAGACACAAAGTTATTAAAAATTAAATAACTTATATTATATGTTGAGGAGTTAAAACCCCATAATAATAATAAGTTGGAAGGGTGACAAAAGTGGTTAAGCTACCGTCTTGTCTTGTATATAGAGGTAGGAGCTATCGTGGATTTATTGGGTTAGTTGCTTAAGGGTGTAGGTTAAATAAATCTTTTTTCAGTTAACATTACATATTATTTGTGCATTTTATTATATCTAAAATTAAAATTTTATATTTCACTGTTTAAATTATAATCAATTATAAAAAAATAGTTACGAGAGTAAATTTTTTTATATTATGACTCACTTTTATTTAATGATAAATATTATATAACTTAATACAATTTAAATTATATAATTTTTTTTGAAATTTTTTAAAATATGAATTAAAAGTATAATAAATATATTTTTTATCATAAATTTATATTTAAAATAATTTTTTAATTTATTAATAATTTAATTAAATTAATCTATTTATTAATAATAATAAAATTAATGTCAATTTCTATATTTTTATATATATTTATGAAAAAAAACCTTACCAAAAGAGCACATTCTACAAAAGCCTCTTCTTTTAAATTATTAAAATTAAAATATTATTAATGACTAATATAAAGTCGTGCTTTATTTTGATAATTTTAATCATTGCATTACCTTACTTTTAAACCATTTATTAAAAAAATTATTTTTAAAAAAATTATTTTTGTTTTATTTTTCTTTTTCCTTTATATTTTACCTCCTGCCGTGGGTGTTTTTTTTTCGGTGCAGCTGTTTTTTTTTTCTTTTTTTTTCTTTTTTTTTTTGGTGAAATTTTCGGTGCAGCTATTTGTTTGGTAAGCGCGATCAATGGACCATAGTAGGTAAGGCTTGCTGGCTCAACCAACCCGTTAATTTGTTTCTTTCCCTGTTTTCTAAAGAATTGAAAAGTATTTTTTTGTTTTCTAAATTGGATAGCAGAAGACTAGGGATGTTAATTATTAATAATTTTTTATTTTAAAATTTAATTAAAGTTATTTATTTTTTGGCAAAAAAAAAAAAAACAGTGCTATAAAAATAACTTTTTTGTCTCACTTTTTTATATAATTTTTATATATCATTAAATAAATAAATATATTCGATATCACGGGTTTCATATAAATAAAAAAATCAATAATTTAAATGACACGTCAAGTTATACTAAAAAGTGATACAAAAAATTTGTCTCAAAATCATTTCCCAAAAAAATAAACCTATAACTAATTTCATATAATAAAATTTTAGGTTCAACTCATAATTTGTTTGGTAAACTGATTAGTTCGATTTGTTAAGTCATCGTCACAAAAGGCTTAGATCAGTCCTGGGCATTGAAGCTTGTTTACTTGATATGCAACTCTAAGACCATTGCTTTCAATGAATCACAGGAATTAATTCAGCAGTTTTTGACGTATAACAATCAACTTTCCCAAAAAAGAGAGAGAGAGAAAAAAAAAAAAACATTATCCACAATAGTTTGGAGTTAAAAATCACATTGTTTGACAGTCAAGGAAGTCTAATATAGCATCCTAATTATAGCACATGAAGAAGGTTACATAGTCAAGGTTGGTTAATGGGACAGAAATTACTACCAAGAAGCTAGAAGGTTACATAGTCAAGG